AGCTGAAAGGTTAGGTGTTACGCTTTAAAGAACATGAGTGAGAATATTTGTAGCTCAGGCGAATGGTTTCAGTAGTTGATCTTCTTTGAGCTGGATCTTCCAGTCGTTAAGCTTTCATTGTCATGGTAGACTATGTCAGCACAGACTTCAGAAAGAATTTATGTACGATATTTTCGAAAATGTCTTAGTAACTAACTTATTCTGATGACCTTGAGTGTGATCAGCTGTTTCTTCTGAAATGTTGCGATTATCTCCATACTAATTTCCATTAGCTGTCTTGTAGGCGTGAACTCTTCATCTCAAACGCTTTACGTTGTTCGAAAGTGGAAAACTTTGTCAGGCGGCAAACTTTACAAGAAATAACTTCATATCACCCACGAGCGTATATGTTAGCATGTTCTTCCTACCGATAGCTGATACCTTAGTGTGATGATTGGGCTTGCGTGTCTTAATGAGTCACACTAGCCGGAACGCTTGTTAATGGAGGTCCTACCATGTCAAAGACGTCTGTTGAACAGTGATAAGACGGGAAGCATCTACCATTATAGTGTACGTTTCTACGCTAGGACAAGATGCCAGAACACTTTGTAGCACAGTTCGGCTGACCCTCGGGAACGTTTCAGTTGCATAACATCCAGCCTGAACTTGAATGGTACATAGATATCGGTCCTCCAACTACCTTTTGAAGTTGAGAAAGATGTATCGAACCTGAGACGACGCGAAGCAGCAGGACATAAAAGTTTGCCACGCGAAATTTTCAAAATTGCAGGTAGGAAATTGCTGCTTATAGTGACGGAGGTAATAGATATTGTATGCGAATCAGATGCGACACCCTCAGACTGGTCACTGATCATCTTGTGACAACCATAAAGGTAGTAGTGTGACTAATGTTTTTGCCAAGATCCTAGGGTCCATAGTTATCCGACGCCTTACTTGAGCTCGAGAAAAACAAACTGGAGAAAACCAGGCACGTTTCAAACCTGATCGGGTGTGCACCGATCAGATTTTCACCCTCCGACAAGTTCTGGGACGCAGGCATTCTTATCACCGGCCGACAATTACCCTATTACTCGACCTGAAGGATGCATTTGATTCTGTCGACAGTGGTGTTCACCAGGGATGTCCACTGTCCCTATTCAACTTCGTAATAGACGTACTAATGTACATAACCTTAGGCATGTGTGACTTGACAAGGGTTGACTTACTCCCTGGAGGTTATCTAGTTGACTTCGCGTAAGCAGAAAACATTTTCCTACTAGGCGAAGACGTTGACAAAAGCCAAGGTTTTGTGAACGCGTTGAGCAGAAATTTGAGTAAGTTTGGCTGGCATGGATTTTGCACTTGTCAAATCTAAGATGATTCCGCATAACAGGTCTGCTGCAATCACTCCCAGCTTAATGATAGACAGTGAAGTGGTGGAATGTGTTGATCATTTCACTTTGAGAGTTGCAGCACTTCAAACGGTCTGATTGCCGACGAAATCTCTGCTCCGAAACAGAAGGCCCATTTGGCATTTGTTAACTTGTATCATCTCTGGCACCGAATTGGGGGATATCCAACTATCTATCAAAAAACGAGTATACTTCTCTGCAGTCCGTCCTTTCTTGTTGTGCAGCTGTGAAACATGGTCGCTGAAAGTAGAAGACATGAAGTGGTCGCAAGTTTTTGATCACAGAAGTCTACGTAGCATAGCAAGCATGTGATAGAAACGCTATGTGAGCAATGCAGAGGTCAATCGATGGGTACTAGGCAAGGCAGACGCGTTAGTCAATGAGGTTGAGAAGACTCAGTGATTGAGGTGGTCTGGAAACAAGCTGAGCCACAGCCTATCTCGACCTCGACGAACAATGCTAGCAGAAGTTGGAATATGTTGGAAGAAGGCTTAGAGCATCCAGACTAAGAAGTGGGACTAATCCATAAAGTACCTCACTGTCAATCTGAGCCGTGTACGGCAATGCAGACTTCCTGTCTAGATCTTCGAGTTAACAGGAACCAATGATTGAAGATTCAGTGAGATGGCTGAAAGTCGATTACAATGGCGCAGACGTATTCACCTTGAAATGGTGGGGAATATTTGTAGCTAAGATGGATGATTTAATCGTGGAGCTCTCATTGTCTTTCTAGATAACATCAGGACTAACTTCAATTTCAAGTGAATTGTCAATATCTCTCCGTGAGTGATTCAGTAGCTTGCCCTGACAAACTGCTTTGTTGTTTTCTTTGGTTGTTGTGTCACTGACTGCATGGATTTTCTAATTGTTTATCACTTCCTAAGGAAACATGCCCACTGAGTCATAGAGAAGAGATAATTCAGCTATCAGCTCTATCACTTTCTAATGAATGATCGATTGGGTCTATGTCTATACATCTATTGATTGCTGACTGACCTGAATGTCAAGCTTCTAGGAATTCTCTTATATTCTTTTTGTTTCCTCTGTCCGAAATTTCTACATTGTCGAAATTGAATTCATGTCTATAGTTATACACGTACATTGAAATGAGCGATGAAATGTTGTAACGTTTATGGCCAATGGGTGTTCATGTAGACGAAAGCGGAGAGGGGGACCACTTTGTCTAATTTAGTGTCGATCACAATTATTGCAGCTGATTTTTTAAAAGATTTATTTTGTCTGCATTGGCTGCTGAGTCCTTTGGTTTGAAGGAAAGTGGTTGATTTATGAGTCACATCAATTCCAAGTGGTCTCAGTAGTGTTGCAGTGATCTCTGATATATTCATTATGTATGGTAGGATGATTAGTATTTATTTTATGGGAATGGTTTTGTAGTTGATGATAAATGAGATAAGGATTTTCTGATAAAGTTTCGTGGATAGCTGTTCTTCTTCGCCTTCGTTACACGAACACCCATTGGCCATAAACGTTACAACATTTCATCGCTCATTTCAATGTACGTGTATAACTATAGACATGAATTCAATTTCGACAATGTAGAAATTTCGGACAGAGGAAACAAAAGAATATAAGAGAATTCCTAGAAGCTTGACATTCAGGTCAGTCAGCAATCAATAGATGTATAGACATAGACCCAATCGATCATTCATTAGAAAGTGATAGAGCTGATAGCTGAATTATCTCTTCTTATGACTCAGTGGGCATGTTTCCTTAGGAAGTGATAAACAATTAGAAAATCCATGCAGTCAGTGACACAACAACCAAAGAAAACAACAAAGCAGTTTGTCAGGGCAAGCTACTGAATCACTCACGGAGAGATATTGACAATTCACTTGAAATTGAAGTTAGTCCTGATGTTATCTAGAAAGATAATGAGAGCTCCACGGTTAAACCACACAGCTCAGAGAACACAACACAAGCAAGAGATTTATTCACTCCTTGATGTCTTCCAACGCTTGACTATTTTACCCAAACCTTGTTTTCAAATTCCTTATCCTCTCACATACCTTTGGCTAGTTTTATATCCATCCCTCCACTTGTTCTTTGTATGTTATTGTGCAGTGTGGCAACTTGAACCGATGAACTTGCATGTGTTGTTCCACAGTGATTTAGTTTTTCTAGTCGTCCCGTCACAAAATAAACACTTGATTTTATCCTCTTCCAGTCTTGTATATAGATGCTTCACTGGAGTCTGTCCCATGAGGTAAGTAATGAAACATACATATATGACCCGAGTCGAAACACGTATTTTAGAAAAGCCAGCGACACTTTGCGAATACCTCATGTGACCTAATTCTGTATACTATCGGCTTGATATCAAAGAACATCAAGCGAGATAGTATCTCTCTTGATACTCCAAGTTGCTGCTGACAAAAAACAGGTGACTGTCACAGAAGATCACTGTTGTTAATTCTTTGGAAGGGGATACTGCTAATATCGCAAAGATACCTTTCTGATTAACTCAGCTTTACTACTTAAGCGTTTAAGTCGCCTGGTAGTATGATTATATCTCAATGTTTAACTTTATGTAGCAAAAATGACAGCTTCTCATAGAATTCATCTTTCGCATCGTCCAAACTGCAGTCGGTGAGTGTGTAATCAGAGATTGCGAATAAGGCCTCAGCTAGTCCCCCAATCCTCCCTAGCTCTTACAGACCCATTCAATCAGATAGGACATAGTTGAAATTGACTGGCATCCAGTGGAGTGTGCTTTCTGCTCTACAACTCAATCCTATGTACACCGGAGAGTTCATGAGAGTGTTACTGAATCTCCGAACATTCGTCAAATGAATTTCGCAGTGACTAGGTGAGATCCAGTAAATAACCATACTTAAATACCGTATCCATGCCTCAGAATCATGGCCTTTATTCACGACTGGAGATTCCAGAGTTCTAGCAAGTGATACCTTTTTTCTGACTCAGCATATATTTCGGATGTTGAAAGCTCGTTGTTGAATAGACAGTTCGGCTACAGGAGATTGAGAGTGGTAATCCTCCGGCATTGATTGTTGTCAACGGTTACAGAATGAGAGGCGCAGAAGTTGTAAGAAGCTTAAAGTCTATATGAAGTGAAGGCGAAGCAGGTGGCAAAGGTGAGGAAGATTGGTTATGTCTAGGTGGTTTTTGTATACTCTTGAAAGCGTGTGGATGGTTGATACCGCCCACGTCGTGAAAGTTTTTTCTGCAGGGTACTTGAAGGAGGAAAAGGTTAATTTTCACGTCATCACATAGGCAATAAGATATCCGTTTGAAACTGATCCCACAAGGTTCGTTTATGAGTTTTTGACTGAGATTTGATTGTGCAATAACCACAAAAGAAAAACCCACACTGCTGATAACGGAAACCAACCCATGTTAGACGGGAAGACAGTTTTATTAGTTTCCAAACAACAGCCATTGCTCAGGACCTGATACATTATGGTGTACGTGGTTGCTCAGCTGCGTGGATTTATCACAAATTGACGAAAGGTATTTTGCATCTGTCGTGAGCTGAACCCAGGCAACTCTAACTAACTACACGTGAGTATTCTATTGTTGCGCTACTAATGAGATAGACAGAAAATATAGAATATTTAGTGAAAAGAAAAATTCATTGTGATAAGTATTTATTCTGTACAGAAACGAAAACAGCATTTACAGAAGGATTATCGAACTTTACAACAGGCAATACAAATCCGGTATAGTTACCAAGCAATTTCGACAGTTTCTGTTTATTCAATCGGTAATAATCATACTGATAGAACAACATGAAAGTGTTCGATGGGATGGTTGGATCGTCATGAACCACTGTGTTACTCGATGTGGTAATCAAAGATGTGAATGGTCCAGTTATCCATTGCCATTCAACTACAGCATCTTTAGGTAGACCAGAAACGATAAGCCACACAACACATTTACTACAGTAACATATTTCATGAGAGTCTGCATTTAATAAAGCTGGTACACAAACAACGAGATGGAAATGGTTTCGAGCTAGAGTCATAGAATCGTCATTAGTGGCATAACAAATCCCAAGGAATAAATTCATCCACAATTCAGAGATTGACATGTACTAAAAATAAAAAGTATGACAATACATTCATTGCACAACATTCCGTCTACAAAGCACATTCAATAACAAAAAGTGCAAGTCAGCAACCATGTGAAAGCTCTAGAATGTTACGGGCAACTGCCGAGCTCGGCTACTAAGATGAGAAATATAACGTATCAAACAAGGAGACTAACCATAGTCTCAACTTAACACCTACCAATCATTAAACCGAAACTATGGGTGTGTTATGTGGACGACACATGAATGACTGAAAAACTGACAAAACTAAAGTTGAGTCTCGCATAAAGATGCATCGGTTCAACCTGTCACACTTCACAGTAGTACAAAAAAGGGGGATAGAAAAGGAGTGATATCAAAGTAGATATAGTAGTGTAAGAGAATAATCAATCTGAATATAACGGCTAGTGAGAATATTCAAACTTTATATGCTAAAGAGTGAATACATCTGCGGCACTGTGATCGATTTTCAGCCATGTCACCAAGTGTCCTCAACCACTCATTCCCCAAACAGGACGACACATTTCTCATCCGTAATAAAAATGATACTGAATCTACCCGAAAACTAATCAATAATGTTTTCAGAGGAATCGAATTCATGAAAGAGAATAACGGACAACTGGCATCTTAGATCTCTTGAATATCTCTAAAGCGACAACCAAACTGCCACATCCGCATGGAATTCCAGCGTCACATAAAGCAATTAACTCGCAACAATATATCCTATGCAAACCAAAAGATCCAGTTAAACAAGAAGAAATGACCAACGTTATCTACAAAGTCAACTACAATAGTCGTAAACACCACTACGTGGGAAAGTCAGGTAGACTAGTATTACAAAGCATACGAGAACGTAAGCTAGTCGTCAAACGTCATGCTATGTATTTTTTCACCTCAATGCACAGTGACAACCACAACCATTCATTCAACTGGGACAACTTCAAACTACTCGGATGTACAAAATCGAGAGCTGCCCAAGAAAATTTGGAGGGACAGCACTCAGGCAAATTAGCGATAAATTGCTACATCAACCTAGATGCAAAATACGAGCCTATTCTAAACAAATCAATTACAGGAATCAACCGATTAAAATGCATGAAAACCCTAAACATAAGCGAAAATGGGATCACCAATCAATTAGATTGGTATAACTCATGTACAACTAGGCATGCTCCTGTGCTCAACTAATCGCTACGAAAGAAATCCCCTTTTCCAGTAAAATCTAACCGACCACCAGCAGCAGAGAAGACCGCTCTAGCCAGAGTGAATCAATCAATTAACATAGAGCACCCGCCCTTCAATATAAACGAGTCAACCAATCCGGCCGAAATAACCTTCATTACTTCAGTCAGACCAAAGAGGTGAACCAATTACTCCAAAGCGATCTCGACATACTGAAAGCAAACGAAGAAAACCAACCCATCACAGCCGTGCATCCCTCTGAGAAACACTAGAGGGAGTAAGTCAACCAAGTGAGTTAATTATACGTCCACACACTCACCAAAAGATTGATCAAATTATACTCAGGCAAAGAGTATGTCTTAAGAATCCATTCACAACTAATTACTTCACTTCAACACCTTGATGGAGATGTCTAGCATGACACTGAAATGTTTACCAACTAAAACCCTAGCTCAGAGAACAACTAACTCCGAACATTCACACCCTGAGTTGCAAACACTCGCTGCAATTCCTAACTGTTTACCGAAAGTTAGAATGGCATACGTCAAACTGAATCACCTCTGATACTGTCATGATGTTAACTAACGTCACTGTATAAAGTCGGGTATACGACCCGGCGATAAGGGCAGTTCGGCTTTACGTTTGTGAAACATGGTCTCTTCGAGATGACGATGTACGATGAGTCTGCGTTTTAGATCATCGCTGTCTCCGCAGGATTGGTCGCATTCGGTGGAAACATCATATAAGTAATTCTTAGTTGAGGTGAAGTGTGTTTGGGCGTGATGAGGATCATTACTCATTAAGTGTGGTCATCTTATGACACTGGCATTAACATGCGTTACGTCTGTAGTCCCAGCGATCATACACCGCTCAATGTCAATTTGTCCTAAGAGTGATTGAAGAGGCGGAGAGGTGACCAGTGCAAGAAGTGATTCCGAGACATCAAAGAGAGTTGTGTTCCGTTAACACTTGTAAATGTCTCATGACTCCAGTGATGGGATTCGAGAGATCATGCGAATCAAACATGGCTCACAGTCGAGACCTGAAGCTATCATACTGCAGTCTACGTTAATCTCCTATGAATGTAAAGTAAGACGAAAGTAGTCAATACACCTTCGGATGTCCTTGAGACTATATCTATGTATCTGTATCTACATCCATTCTCCCTTCCATTTGGTTCGTCATCCCAAAAATGCTCTTTTATATTAGGTGGCGGATCTCTTGATGCAAATTTTGTAACAAGTATATTATTGTTATTAGTATTACTATTATTCTTATTACACCAGTGAGCATAAAAAGTGAAGATTTTAGATATTCTTCACATGACCTACTCGTACGTTAAAAGTGTTTAACGCATATGTAATGAAAAGTTGAATCACCTTACCTTCATTAGACGATGACAATGTCGTATGGCAAGCCAAGACTCAATGGCTGATGCTTCAGAAACTATTCATAAAATGATCATTTTGGGATGGAAGCACTTCCAGTTCAGGAATTAGACCAATCTGACCAGAGTAGAATGTGAAGTACTCTGTACTTGAAGGAGATGAACAATCATCTGATTGAACAAAGGACAAGGGGACAGCTATTGCTTGACTATACGGTCCAATATTAGCTGGAGCCCAATGTGAAATTGACTGAACATACAAACCTCGAAGGGAGTCAATCCACCCACAGATATCCACATTACCATAATAGATTATAGCAGACAAGTTAACGCAAAAAGCCTCCTTGGAATGTACAGAGATTTCATGTGATATCTGGAGAAAATTTTAAAAAGAAACACGTGAGGTATCCAGTTAAATTTGTTGGATGACAAACAGATAGATGAACTAACGTGGAAGCTGTAACAGAGGTGTATCAGTTTAAGTTGCGAAACTTTGAAAGTGTTTATACCCAAAGGTGCAAATACTACTAAGTGTTTAAAAGAAATCACCACTTGCTTAAGATTCATTGGTTCTCTCAAAGTTTACACTTACTTTTACCGATATTAAAGTTGCATTCTGGCTTACGAAATGAAAATTATCGCACTGCACTTGAGATGTCTGAAGTGCAAATAACGTATTGCATAATGAGTACATTGACTTGAAAATACTTATTTTTTTTATCAGATCAGAAGATAAGTAATTTTACAAACATACTTGTAGAAAATGGTGTTTTACAAATGAAAGCAACAAACTAGAAAACAATGGTCACTCGAAATACACCCTCAGCAAAACTCACACCAAAAGACGGTATTTAGACAGGAATGAACAGAGCATTGATGAATCACGCAGTAAACAAAGAGACAATATCTCACTCATCAAGCTACACTGTCATATTGATTTTCAAAAAGAAAAAACAAATATTAACATTACTCATCTCTCAACTACAACCAATGTAATGCTACCTTACATGAAACGACTAAGCACAATGCATTCAGATCTAGTTAATCCCAAAGAGAAATCTATGAATTGATTTGCAACGATCACATAATAGATGCTAACCCATTCCATATACGACTGGGCCGAAAAGTCGATTCTGAATCAGTTCAGACGTCATCACAGAGTTTAGATTAACAGTCCCGACCGCTACCTGCTACCTTGACGTGGTGGTCGGGCTTGCATATCACAATGACCCAACGAGCTGTCCTGGTGGAACACTTGTTCCCTCGAGGTACTACTATACCAGAAAGGTCTGTTGGATAATGGTTAGACGAAAAGCAGTTACCGTTGTGGTGTAAATCACTACACTATGATGGGGGGTCCGAGGGCGAAGTCGTACTGCCACTAGTTGGACGAGGTGTGACAGCATTATGGTGTTTCCCTTGGATGATCAGCAGTGTCATGCTGACGCTGCCTTCTCAGTGGAAGGGGGAGGGTTAGAAAAGATCGGTCCCAAAAATAACACACTCCATCACACCCGACGGTCTGCGGGCGGCAGAGTTGGTTCATTTATCGTTTGTTTTCGACCATCCGGCCCAAAACACCAAAAGTTCAAAACAACCATACACAAAAGGCTGAGTGTAACAGGCCTCGAGCAGATGTCCGATGGGCTCAGTGGTCACGCAAATCTCTTCCAGGTACCTTGAGAAGAAATAGCCTCCACGGTGTGGGCAGCCGGGAAGCGTCAACCGCCCTCACAACTCTATTAGTACTCAAGTTTCCTCAGACTACTACCGACCTCCTACCCCATCATTACCTTCCAATCCTCCCCCATGCCTCTCACTTAACGATACTGCATCTTCTTCAACTTCTCCTAGCTCTGCAGCCTTCGACAACGATCTGAGTCCACAAAACAGCATCTTTGGTCTCCTTAAACTACGCTCCAAATTACACATCGGGCCTTCAATGTCCGCACCCTCCATCAAATTGGTCAACAGGCTCCGTTGGCAAAGACTCTAGCAACTCAAACCATGGACTTGTACTGTATTTGTGAGATGAGACACGCATACAAGACCCAAGTGCGGTTATTCACCTAACCTCTTGTGATAACCACAGAGGAATCAGCCTGACGAACATGGTGTCTAGAATTCTAGGTTCTATAAATCTTCGAAGCCTGAGTGGAGTTCAGGAACAGCAAGCCCGAGAAAACCAGGCAGGCTTTAGATCCGGCCGCGGGTGTGTCTACCAAACTTTCACACTGCGCCAGGTTTCTGGAACACAAACACGCTTACCGACGCCCGACAATAGCTGTATTTCTCGACTTGAAGGCGGCGGCATTCAACTCCGTCGGTCGAAAAGTCATATGACAATGTCTCTCATTGAAAGGCGTGCCGAGTAAGTACATCACCTTATTTATTATTGAAGGCTCTCTACTCGAACACTTGTGGGTGTGTTAGAGCCTATGGCGAGATGTCCAGGGAGCTATGCTCATTGAGTGGTGTCCGTCGACGGTGCCCACCCTCTCCATTCTTATTCAATTTTATCATAGATATTCTCATGGAGGTCTCCCTCTCGTCACCTGATTACATAGAGGTTGACCTAATCGCGGGAGAATTTTAGTTAGACCTAGAATATGCAGATGACATAGTCCTGTTAGGTGAAGACGCTGACAAGATGCAGAGCCTTCTGGACACTTTGAGGATGTTTGGGATGCGTTTTCACCACCCAAATCCAGATTATTGCTACAGGATTGGTCTTCATGGTGCCTCGGCTAACAATAGAGAGTGAAGTGGTTGAGTGTGTCGACCACTTCACTTACCTGGGAAGTAGGGTCAGTCCTGGTGGCTCACTGGTCGATGAAATCTCCGCACAGATACAAAAGGCCCGGCTGGCTTTCGCTAACTTACGCCACCTGTGGTGCCGCCGTGATATCCAATTGTCTATTAAGGGTCGCGTGTACTGCACAGCAGTCCAGTCTATTCTACTGTATGGCTGTGAAGCATCCCCATTGAAGGTGGAAGATATGAGAAGGCTGGCTTCAGGTGTTTGACCACCGTTGCTTTCGTAGTATAGGCCGTATTCCGTGGTGTCACCGGTGAGTAACGCAGAAGTCAGGCTCAAGTGTAAGGTTTTAGGGGGAAGCGGTAAATCAATTGTGAACATTTATCGACTGAGATGGTTAGGACACGTGTTATTACATATGCCTGCCTAGTCGCCGATCGCCTCGTCACACAATGTTGGCTGAAGTATAGGTTCAGGCTGGAAAAAGGCTCGAGGCAGGTAGCCTAAAACATGGCATCAATGTATGAAGTCTTTGACTCTTGGTTTGAGCCATGTCGGGCGATGTAGACTGGGTGGTTGGGGTCGTGGGCAGGAGAAACCAGTGGTTGGAGACTCTAGGTGATATGCCTGAGAATCGATGTCAGTAGCGCAGATGTATATACACATTATTCTCATCTTAACGACGCTATACCGAATCTCACCATTTTCTCATTCTTCCTTTCTCTCTTTTCGTACTTTATATTTCTTCTGACTGAATTTTCTTATTCTTCACCTTGCACTTCACTGGCTTTTTACTTGATATACTGATATGAGTTGTGGCAACTCGGAGCGTTACGCAGTAATGCCTGGTCCTATGTTGATTTGGATGGATGGATTAGATTAACAGTCAATGACTTAATAGCGTAGCATCCTCATGAAGTGACCCACAAGCCTCTTCTATCTCACCTTTTAAGTAGACTAGCAAAGCGAGTTGTGCTAGTCGGTATCAACGTAGAAGTAAAATATTTATCAACCAACTCAACGTGATCTGATCATTCGATTTTGCCTCTTTGTGCAGCACTTCAATTCTGAACTTACACCTCACAAGTCTGTTCCAAAAGACGTGATTGGTGCTGTGAAGGAGTTTGCGACCAATGTTTTTAACTTCCTCTTGGTTTCTCCCTCAATGATTGTGACTTATAAAAGTAAAGAATGACTACATGTATCGAAGAGCAGAAAACTCAACCGTTAAGTAGGCATTATGATAAGTCACCTACATCGCAGGTGACGTAGATCAGTAAATATCGAATCAATATTTGACATCCACAACAAAATTTCACCAGCCATCTATCAAACACGGATGGTACGACACTACATTTGAATCAATTAATCTTCTTCGTTTTTAAACGTATTATCGATGGAGATCAGTTCTGGAGCAACTATTTGCATTTGGATGTTGAAAACATCCTACATATTTTTACATTGTTATTTCGACTGGAGAGACTACTCCCCCTGATTGTCATCGTTGAACAGAATCATGACGAATTAGGATTAGAAACACGCAGGAAATACAACAACCCTCGAGAAGGCAGATCAGGAAAGACCAACTGTTAGAAGTAAATCTACATAAAATTTTCTACGTCTATCAAGCAATATTCCAAATAACGAAAAATTTACCGATTCCAACAACATAAAGCTGGGAAACAACTAACGTCAAAGAAAAGATCTGTACCATTTGAATAGACAGAGAAAACAGGGAAGCAATAACAGAATAGTCAAAAATATGCATTTCTTAGTTGAAAATATTTGAAAAGACTTACAGAATTCATGCAAATACATACACGTGTTGGCATATATGAAGAAACAACTTCATGTTCCCGGCTGGTTTTATTATTCACATCTTCACGTAACCACCTGTCCAACTGGAGAGCATAAGCTTTATTGAATGTGTTGAATACATCTGAAGACAGAGACTGGTTTAAAACGGCAATGATCTGCAAAATCTGTTGAGGTCTAATCCCATTCGAAGCTGAAGAACAACAAAAAAAGTAGGTCCTAAACAGTTAAGGCAATTCAATGAAAATGAATACATGCAAAATTAATAAGAAATAATACAAATATCACTCAAAAAATCAACATATCACCTCGCACAAAAATGTACAATCTCAAGTTGCCACACTTCACAGTATTACACACAGAATAGACGTACAGAAAAAGAGAGATATTAAAATGGATAAAATTATATGAAAGAATAAACAGTGTGAAAATAAAAGCTAGAGAAAATATCCAAGCATTCAAAAACGCCAAAGACACCTGCGCTATTAAAACCAGTTCTCAGTCACGTCACCAAGAGTCATAGAACACTAAAAACTCTCATCTCCCAGACCCCGACCAGGCACCTTACATCGCCGCACACGACTAAAGTCAAAAGCGACAGAAATCATCGACGGCTACCAAGTCTTCTGTGGCACAACCTGACGAAAATTGAGGCTGCCTTTCGTACCCATGCTGAGCTTTCGTCTGACACTGACCAACTAGGGCTGATCCGACTTCCCAGGTAAGTAAAGTAATCGACGCGCTCAACCTCCTCACTCTCGATTTTTAGGAAGGAGAGAAAGTGAAGACTAGTCCTGGAACAACAATTTACATTTGGGTGGTGAGACACGAACCCAAAAATTCTCAATTTGTCAGTCGATGTGTCCGGAAGTCCCTACATCTTATCAGGGTTTTCACATAACGGGACTACGTCATCTGCATACTCTATGTCTACGTCTGGTAAAGATTCTCCTGTGATGAGGTCGATCACTGTGAAGGCAAACCATGACGGAGACCTCTGAGAACGCAGAAAGTGGATACACCTGGTGGAAACCACTCCTCTGTTATTTCACCACAGATCCAGAACATCCTTACGATTCGAGTACAGAGCTTCCGAATGAGGAATGTACATACTCGGAACCCCTTCCAGTGAGAGACGCTACCATAAAACCTATCAATCTATGGAATTGAATGCCGCCTTCAGGTCAAGAAATACAGCCAGTGTCCAGCGTTGGTAATTGTGCCGGTGTTTCAGCACCTGGTGAAGAGTGGATATCTGGTCTATACACCTATGGTCAGATCTGAAGCCTGCTTGCTTTTATCGAGTTTGCTGTTCCCGAGCTCCCCTTCGTTGCCAGATGATAATAGAACACATAATCTCAGAAACCATGTTCGTCAGGCTGATTTCCCCTGTAGTTATTACAAGAGGGCGAATGGACAATCGGTGGTTGAAACCAGTCGGAGGGGATCATGTCTGACTTCAAAACAGTAGCTAACACTTCAGTTAACTTGACCCATAACCCTCTACCACCGTCCTTAAATACCCCCGGTACTGGTTTGTCTTACCCTGCTGCTCTTTCTTCTTGCAGATTGCTTACAGATTTCTCGACTTCTTTCTATAGGTGTCGGAGTGCTCCATACGGAATCTGACTGGATAGCGGGAAAGAAATAGTAGCTGATCCTTGAAGCGTTCCGACCACCGTTCCAGCCGTCTCCCCTACGAGTGAATCACAGGCCCGTCCTCCTCCATTGTTGTCTAACTAACCACCGACCTTAATAAATTCAAATAAATGTCCATTGTTATTTGTCACCACTGCTTTTGCCATCTTTCCAGCCTTCTTTGTCCACCACTGTTCGCAGTGACTGCCAAGACTTCTTGTCAGTCTACATTTGGGCTGCTACCGCACCTCATCTTGCTCGGAGCCTGAATCAACGACAAACCAATTATAGTTAGGCACCAACAATCCGAAACAGATACCTAAAATAAAAGTATTTTGAAAAATGCTACTTTCATCACTAGTAGAACAAAAAGACGGATGCTCGCAAGGCAACAAAAAAACATCAAAAGGAAATCGAAAAGGATTAAAAAGGAAAAGAAAACCAACAGGAAAAGTCCATTGACCCTCTATAGCCGTTCTCTGAGGCTCAGCTACGGTCTTCAACGCTGCCATTACAACAGACTGAAGACCCTACAAGGCTTATTCAGCACCAGTGATTACGCTCTGTTTCGATAAGTCTCTCTCCAACCAATTCTTCGTCGAAATTGCCTTAGTATCCTCATCGTCCAGTCTCACTAGCAATGATTTCGTGACTGGAGTTCCTCTGTGTCCACTCATGTCCACACAAACGCCTACTCGGAGTAATGCATCATCACTCTCCAGACACGGATTCCAGAAAGAATGGCAATCTTACACCGACCCTCTCGATCAATGACTACCAGTAATATCTTCTATCTGTGTCTACTGTTCAGTTCACGTCATTCGGTGCCATGTCGGATAATCTCTCTCCCCCTCTCTCTCTCTCTGCATCTAAAGTCCGTGTTGACCAGAAATGGCTCGTTGCTTGAGCACAGTTGTAACAGGCCATCGACCTTATCTTCTCCTTCCACTGAGATTCCAAAAGTGACACCCAGGTGCCTTCCTATACGACTCAGACTGCCCACTGGCGCACTGAAATCACCGGCCATAACAACCACATATGAACGCTTACCTTGGACTAGAAGGCTAGACAGTTTTCGCTAGAATTCATCTTCCACTTCACCCGAACTCCAGTCAATGTGTGTGTAGGCACAGGTTATAAATAGACAACGCTCAGTTCCAATATTGTCTTCAATCCTCAATGTGCCACCCAGTCGGACAGTGCATAGATGACTGTCAACTGGCATCCAGTCGAGCACTGCACTTCCAGCCTTGGCACATCATGCTATACTTACACCTGAACTAACACGAGAACTAGCCATCTAGTCTGCAAACACTCGAACTGTCAATAATGCAGACTGACCACAGGGACTGCGTCAGGTCAAGTGAGTAATTACACTTGGGTCGCGTCTTTCTCTCTGCCTTTCTGTGTGTCACACAAACGCGGTCAACTTCACGAGGTGTGACATGTCAGAACTCTGGATGACCAGTCTTGTCTGATTTGAAGAACACTGTGGCTATCAAAAGTTAAGGTATACAGTTTGCAAGACGGTCTCTGGAGGGTACTGATACTGGTTGTTGACTTGAATATCAGTCGAGAGCTGCGATGCTGAAATGAAATAAAGATAATGTAGGAATGTTGATCGAGATAGTAGAAGGAAGACTGGAAGTTACAGATGTGGAAAGTGCACAGTGATCTGAGGTAACCTGAGTCCTGACAGAGTTGAGTGGTCGGTTTACAATTTCCGGCTATCCACAGGGTGGAAGGCTTAGTTTGTTTTGTCCAAGTCCGGCTACGAACCGATATCGCGAGCAGCGGTATACTGCAGGGTAGAGGGAAGTACGCTATTTTTAGGGCAAACGTCTACTAATTTCCCCCGCTTCCCATAGGGAAAACATGATCAACGAGGCACCGCTGGTCATCCAAGGAAAACACCTTACTGCCATGACACCCCCCTCCAGCCAGCGGTACAATTGCACCTTCGAATCTGCGTTATAGCATAAAGACTTACAGTTTAACGGTAACTACTTTGTGCCTTACCTCTGGCCAGCAGACGTTTCTGGTATGGTAGGACCTCGAGAAAACAAGGGTTTCAGCATAGATCGCTGGGTCATTGTGATATGCCAAGGTGACAATCACATTAAGGTAGCAGCTGTCGGTAGGGATAGCCGAACCAGTGTTGCGTTATATGTCTTACAAGTATCAAGTGTTGTTTCGACAAACCGAGCTTCACGTATCAATATGTTTCCACCTACCCATCATTTTCAAAAATTGGCACTCTATCCCATCGTATTGCGTGACTGTGTGACAGCACTTATAATTGTGAGTGAGCTCTTTTCTAGATTGACCTTATTAAGGGCCAGCCATTCTATATTTATCAAGGTTTAAATATCCTGTTAAGCTTATTGATCCCAGTTGACTAGTTTGACTTATGTATTCGCCTCAGAGGAAGGAAACCTTTTTGCAGGAAGTTTGCATTTTCAAACGATATTTTATGGTCCTAGGCATGAACCGCGATAGGAGAGCTTTTCTCAAGCTTTTCGATGTCTTTAGGAATCTTTCGGTTGGTGTTTGAAACATCAGCCTTGTTTGGTTAGGTCAGAACCTGACGCAATGTCTTTCCAATGCACCCAGCATCGTATACACTAGAGTCCGCCTTGTAAATATATTTCTATTGTTCCAGATGGGAATCCGGTTTTTTCACTTAGACTGGTGTGAGTCCAGCGTTTGACACTCTAAAGATTGTCTCACACTACTTTATCTACTTTGATGTCAGTCTTTTTCTAGCCACATATTCTCTATGTACTACTGAAAAGTGTGGCAACTTGAGTCGATGAGCGAGGTTCTACATTGATTTTGTCAGTCAGTTGACCCTAGAGAATATCTTGATTCCGTAACTGTTGAGGATATATTTTATTTTTTCTGATGTGCATACAAAATAAGTAAGTTAGTTTTTTCTTTTTTTTGACAAATGTCTTTCTATTCCTTTTAGTAAGTTCTCCGGAGTTGTCTCATCTTCAAACTTCTCGAATACGCTACCTGTCTTCTTTCTGAAATTTCAGCTTTTATGGTATATATATATATATATATATATATATATATATATATATATATATATATATAAATGCTTAAAAACCGAGATGATAGAAAATAATTGGCAGGAAGTCACAGTATCGTCCTACGTGTTATTAATATTTACCATTCCAAGGAAAGTGCCTGCGGATCGTTCTACAACACATTTGTGAATGCTGATGTCATGGATAGGTTGACATTGTATGAACTGCCCATGGACACGAAATACTAAAAACAGTATACTATACTGACGTTAATTTCCACTTTGTAGGCATAATACAATTCATGACTAATGCAGTTAGAGCGGAACTGTGAACCGGAACACAATAATGATCCGTCGACCATGTAACTATCTCTTGCAGCAATATGACTTCATATTCCATATTACACATTAAGCGCAAAGGGGAAAAAAGTAACTGTTTCAAATAAATTTACCATGACCAACTCAACTACATTTTGCGCAGTTACCTACCGAATACACTTTTCATTTGAAGAAATGCATTTTCTGTTGCTTCATGAATTTTATGCAAACTCTCACTTGTAGAAGAATAATTTGACGTTATCCATATTTCATTGCTTAAACGTCTACCAACGTTTTTAATTGACTTTAGATTTGTTTTATCGAATCCCCGGTGATTGTGTTTCTTACTATTATTACCTCCATCATCACTATTTCTTTTCGGAAATACTGTACAAACAATGTCACCTCTAATTTCTTCACATGTTTTTAATTGTATATCTTCTAATCTCTTAAATGGAGAAATAAATGGACGACGATTTGATACACAGGAACTACTTTGATCATTAGTGTGAATTCGTTCTAGAGATAAAAGTTGTTCTGCCGTTTGGTAAACTTCGTCTAATGGTTTAGCCTAAGATTGTTAAAAAAACACTAGATATTAGACAGGATAACAAACTTTATGACAAATAAAAAGTAGGAAATATAACCTACTTAACACAGGGAGCTTAACTGACTCAGATTTCTTATTCTTCGGAATCTAAGATTAAATTTACACCTGATTGGCATCGAGATCTTGTGACTTAGGTAGTAGAACACAGGATCAGCAATTTAGGAGTTGACTGTTTGAACGCTTTAGTGACTTTCAATTTTTTCCATTTTGATTCTTTATTGCCGCATACAGAAACAAGAAAAGTAATCTACACACACTGTCGGTAGTGTTAAATCTCATACTGGTTAAGAAGTAAAAAAATTTGAAAAATGATTTCAAAAAACAGTTTTCCCACATGGCACGTTGTTAAGCAGTATCACTATCTAAATGATGTCAAGAGCAAACCGATTGCGGAGATTCATATCAAATCAGAGAAGGGTAGTTACCTACGAAGTCCTAGCTCGAATACAAATAGACCGGTGAAGATTTGCTAACCTAAGCCATCTCTGGTGCCGGAGAGATATCCGACTACATATCGAAGGACGAGTATACTGTGCTGTAGTCCGCTGTGTCCAGTTATACAGCTGCAAGACAGGGTCGTCGAAAGATAATGTGAAGACATCGCAAGTACCTGGCCACATGCGTTTTCAAAGCACTGTTCGCGTATAATGCAATCACCAGGTGAATGATATTGAGCTTAGGAGCGAGGTACTAGGTATAGGAGGGAAGTCAGTCAATGAAGTTTTGAACCTTCATCGACTGAGTTGGCTTGGACATGTGTTGCACACGTCGAGTCACAGCCTATTTCGACGTGCCGAAGTCTGAATAACGCAAAAGGCGGTCAGAACAAGACGTAGCACCAGTCTATGAATTCTCTGACTGTCGATCTGAGCTATTTAGGCTATCTGGGTGAAGCCATAAAAACTGTAGATACCAATTTTTGAAAATATCTGATGAAATAGCTGAAATTCGGTCACAGTAGCGCACATATGTTCTCTCTCTGAAGTCTTATAAAGTTTGAAAATTTTCAATAGCCTTGATTTTTGAATCTTCTGCTTTAGCACACATACATAACTTTTCCTACCCACTTGTTTCTTGTATGCTGCTGTGAAGTGTGGCAACGTGAACAAATGAACTTCTGTGTGAGGTTCCACGTTGAAGTCGGCTGTATGCCGAGAAACTGAAGAGTTGGCGTTTCTAAATAGACCAATAACTTCTACTTCGGCGAGGTGGTCAGGTTCAGGCATCACAAAGAGAAAATGAGCTACGACGAAGGTAGAAGTCAGAATTTGCGCTGCTGGCTGCACAAATTGTGACCGCAGTAAGGTGTTTCTCCTAAAGCATAAGATCCCTTCCCTTCTTTAATCAATGAAGGTTGAAGGGCGGGTCCGAATAATATCATGCTTGCCACCAAACTACAGTTTTTCGGTATCAGCAAAATGGGTTTTCTAGACACATTTAAGACAAACAGAGGTGAGACTAAAAATTAATACAAAGTAGGTTTCCATAGTACTTCCACTTATGCATTCGTACTGCTAAAACAGTATTTAACTGATAAAACTTTCGAAGTAACTTTCCATGGCGTAGGCAGTCAGCAAATATTAACTGCCCAAATGGCGCGGAATCATGCTCCACTCCTTTCCACCCGAAGCAAAACATTAAGCCATATCATCCTAGAGAGACTAAAAAATGCCCTGGATTCAAAATTTGACTGGAACAGTCTGCTGGCTTCAGGAGAAACAAATCATGTGTGGATCAAATTGCAATGCTACGCTACACATCATCATAGAACAGACCATAGAATGCCAGTCAACTCTTAACCTCAACTCCATCAATTTTGAAAAGATCTTTGACAGCGTCGACCCAGAAGTAATTTGGCAGGCAGCTGCTTCAACACTAAGGAGTGCCACAAACCTTTATCAACCTCATTCAACAGCTATATGACGACACCATACTCCAAGTGATTCGCAATGATAAGCTCAGCGATGCTTTTGAAGTGAAGACAGGAGTAGGGACAAGGCTACCGCTTACTACCACCGATCATCTTCCTGATTGTGCTGGACTGGATCATGCAACAAACTATGCAGAGCGAGAAGTTGGCCATATGCTGTTCGACCGATGGAAAAATCCTAGAAGATTTGGATTTCGCCGATGATGATGATGATGATGATGATGATGATGATGATGATGATGATTTATGTCTCATATCTTGCGGCACAAACTCGAAGATCTACAGGCAAAAACCAACAAGTTGACAGAAGAGGCCAGGCAGCGAAGACGGGACTTCCTTCAAGTGAACGTAGAGAAGACACAGGTGATGGAGACACCCAACCAACAACAGCACCAATCACCTTCAACGGGAGAAATCTAAAAAAAGTAGTCTCTTTCACCTACCACCTAGGCAGCATCATCTCAACTACAGGCGGCGGTGGCGTCATAGATGAGGATGTCAAAGCCAGGATCGGAAAAACAGCAAGACAGGCCCTCACCAATCTGAAATCAGTGTGGACACCTACTGCACTGCACTCAGCATAAAGAAAAAGATCCGGATTTCCAGCACTAATTCAGGCAAGAAAATCAGTGGTTCTATATGGTTGAAAGACTTGGCGCATTACGGAAAGCATTTCCAACACCCTACAGACATACATCACATCAACAGCTGCTCCCTACCCTCACTCGATACTGAAGGTGGAGATCAGATGGCCACAAAAAGCAAAAGGAACTCTCGCCGGGCAGCTTTACAACCAAGAACTCATCGCCCAAGAAAGTGGAGGTGGATTAGATTGGTCATATAATGAGAACACCATTTGGGAACATAACGCCCCAGATCAGACCCTCGAGTGAAACCCAAAGGGAAAACGATGAGATGGGCGTCCGAGGGTGACATGGAGATCATGTCAGAAATAAATAAAGGCTTCTGCGTAGTGTTGTAGCGAGGTTCAAAGACTGCAGAGAACAAAGTGAAATGGCGACGTGATACTGAAGCCCTATGTTCCACAAGGAATTCGAGAGATAAATGATAATAATAATATACCAGTCACAACACACGCTGCCTCAGAAGATTATTAGGCTTCCACATCTCATCTTGTCAATCCTTCCTTCAATCTTCCTAAGAATACTGCTAGATGCTCTTGAATCTTTTCCAGATCTGCAGCTCTCGATAACGACTCGAGTTCACTTGACTACATGCTCGGTCTCCTGACAACGTCTCGCAAACTGTATACCTTAACTTTTGATAGCCACAGTGTTCTTCAAATCAGACAAGACTGGTCATCCAGAGTTCTGACATGTCACACCTCGTGAAGTTGACCGCGTTTGTGTGACACACAGAAAGGCAGAGAGAAAGACGCGACCCAAGTGTAATTACTCACTTGACCTGACGCAGTCCCTGTGGTCAGTCTGCATTATTGACAGTTCGAGTGTTTGCAGACTAGATGGCTAGTTCTCGTGTTAGTTCAGGTGTAAGTATAGCATGATGTGCCAAGGCTGGAAGTGCAGTGCTCGACTGGATGCCAGTTGACAGTCATCTATGCACTGTCCGACTGGGTGGCACATTGAGGATTGAAGACAATATTGGAACTGAGCGTTGTCTATTTATAACCTGTGCCTACACACACATTGACTGGAGTTCGGGTGAAGTGGAAGATGAATTCTAGCGAAAACTGTCTAGCCTTCTAGTCCAAGGTAAGCGTTCATATGTGGTTGTTATGGCCGGTGATTTCAGTGCGCCAGTGGGCAGTCTGAGTCGTATAGGAAGGCACCTGGGTGTCACTTTTGGAATCTCAGTGGAAGGAGAAGATAAGGTCGATGGCCTGTTACAACTGTGCTCAAGCAACGAGCCATTTCTGGTCAACACGGACTTTAGATGCAGAGAGAGAGAGAGGGGGAGAGAGATTATCCGACATGGCACCGAATGACGTGAACTGAACAGTAGACACAGATAGAAGATATTACTGGTAGTCATTGATCGAGAGGGTCGGTGTAAGATTGCCATTCTTTCTGGAATCCGTGTCTGGAGAGTGATGATGCATTACTCCGAGTAGGCGTTTGTGTGGACATGAGTGGACACAGAGGAACTCCAGTCACGAAATCATTGCTAGTGAGACTGGACGATGAGGATACTAAGGCAATTTCGACGAAGAATTGGTTGGAGAGAGACTTATCGAAACAGAGCGTAATCACTGGTGCTGAATAAGCCTTGTAGGGTCTTCAGTCTGTTGTAATGGCAGCGTTGAAGACCGTAGCTGAGCCTCAGAGAACGGCTATAGAGGGTCAATGGACTTTTCCTGTTGGTTTTCTTTTCCTTTTAATCCTTTTCGATTTCCTTTTGATGTTTTTTTGTTGCCTTGCGAGCATCCGTCTTTTTGTTCTACTAGTGATGAAAGTAGCATTTTTCAAAATACTTTTATTTTAGGTATCTGTTTCGGATTGTTGGTGCCTAACTATAATTGGTTTGTCGTTGATTCAGGCTCCGAGCAAGATGAGGTGCGGTAGCAGCCCAAATGTAGACTGACAAGAAGTCTTGGCAGTCACTGCGAACAGTGGTGGACAAAGAAGGCTGGAAAGATGGACATTTATTTGAATTTATTAAGGTCGGTGGTTAGTTAGACAACAATGGAGGAGGACGGGCCTGTGATTCACTCGTAGGGGAGACGGCTGGAACGGTGGTCGGAACGCTTCAAGGATCAGCTACTATTTCTTTCCCGCTATCCAGTCAGATTCCGTATGGAGCACTCCGACACCTATAGAAAGAAGTCGAGAAATCTGTAAGCAATCTGCAAGAAGAAAGAGCAGCAGGGTAAGACAAACCAGTACCGGGGGTATTTAAGGACGGTGGTAGAGGGTTATGGGTCAAGTTAACTGAAGTGTTAGCTACTGTTTTGAAGTCAGACATGATCCCCTCCGACTGGTTTCAACCACCGATTGTCCATTCGCCCTCTTGTAATAACTACAGGGGAAATCAGCCTGACGAACATGGTTTCTGAGATTATGTGTTCTATTATCATCTGGCAACGAAGGGGAGCTCGGGAACAGCAAACTCGATAAAAGCAAGCAGGCTTCAGATCTGACCATAGGTGTATAGACCAGATATCCACTCTTCACCAGGTGCTGAAACACCGGCACAATTACCAACGCTGGACACTGGCTGTATTTCTTGACCTGAAGGCGGCATTCAATTCCATAGATTGATAGGTTTTATGGTAGCGTCTCTCACTGGAAGGGGTTCCGAGTATGTACATTCCTCATTTGGAAGCTCTGTACTCGAATCGTTCTCGCCACCTACCAGTGCTCACGATCATTGGGAAGACTCTCGATGAATTTACGCTTAGGCTGCTTTCGCTCTTCACAGTTGTCAGAGGAAGTTCGAATGAGTCTTTCCCCGCATCAGTCAGTTCGAATGATGTTGCTGAGATTCATCGACGTTTCCTAACCTTCGGGTGTATGTTACCAACTGTCTGTACCACTGTTTCTACAGCAAACTTAGTAACACGCCAGGTTTCCTGAAGATGGACACTGATGTCAGGTTCAGATAAACGCTAACCCCTCCCTAAATACGTACTTGGCATCCTCATCTCCCAATCCAGCAAGAACATGCTTCAGTGCTGCCTACTTTTTGTGACCAGTAAGGCGCAGACATACACGACCCCTCACTAGCGCATGATCAAAGTCCAAACAAGAGCTTCAGAAAGAGCAACAACCCCAGCCCCACTGATCCTCCCTAAAGATTGCTTATAGCCAATAAGATCTATGTGTCCATCGTGAGACAGCGTCTTAACTTATGCTGCTTGAAATAAGTGCTGGACAGAAACAACTGATTTTCAGGACGTAAATGCAACAGCGGACTACCGTTGTCTGTTCGCTGACAGTCGATTTCGTAGATACCTCCAAGATGCCTTTCGGAATGTCTCGGTTTTTCTACTTGAGCGTTAAAGTCACCTGCCATTTTAACTACATATGAACGTTTTGCTTTCTGTAGCGCAGTTGACAGCTCCTCAGAGAACTCATCCTTTGTGTCATCCGAACTGAAGGCGTTGGCTTAGTTGGCGGAGGTTACAAACAGGCATCTGTTAGTATCATGACCCTTCCTAATTGTTACAAATTCATTCAGTCGAACAGCACATAGACGGCTCTTCACTGGTATCTAGCTGATGAGCACACTTTCTGCCCTACCACTTAATGCTCTGCCTACACTAGTGGGTTCATGGATGCTCGTAAGGTGAGTTTTAAGAATTCACTACTGTGGTCAGGTGATGTCAGTTTAACAGCCATACACAAGTCCTGTAGACGTGTCTTAGACACACAGTATACATCCATGACTTAAGATTTCAGAGTTCTGCCGAGCGACGCTTGGTGTCCAATTTGGCACAGAGTTCGGACGTTGAAAGCTACCACATGGTGGGGTCTTAAAAGATTAGGAATGAGGTGTTGATGGCTTTGATCATTCTCAATGATCACAGAGTGAGAGGTTGCATAAGGCGTAGGAGGCTTAATATGTGTCAGAAGGTGCAGGCAAAGGAGGAAACATAGTTGTGAGGGATAGAATAAGTTTGATTTGGTCTTGTGTACTAGTGGAAGCGTGTGCGGGGTTGACACTTCCCGGCTGCCAACACCATGAAAGTTTATTTCTTCTGAAAGTACCTGAAAGAGAAAATTTTTGTGACCGCAGAGTCCACTGGACATCTGCTTGAGGCCTGCTACATACAGCCATTTGAGGATTGTTGGTGTTAGATGTGATTTCTCTAAAACCGGAGAGAGAAAGCCCATACCACTAGCACCAAGAAAACGTGGGACAGAGAGGTGTATGTTATTTTGGGGACCAACCTTTTCTAACACCTTTTTCCTAAGAGAGGACAGAATCAGCGTGGCAGCGCTGCTTATTTCAGAAAAACACCTTACTGTTGTCACACCCGCTCCAGCCAGCAATAAGAGTTCAACCACGGCCCCCCACTATAGTAGCAATTTATGCTATAACGGCCACTGATTTTCTTACCACTATCCAACAGACTTTTCCGGCATGGTAGGACCTCAAGGGAACAAGCGTTTCAGTCAGTGTAACTCGTTGGGTCACTGTGATATGCAAGCCCAACGACTACGTCAAGGTGGCAGTTTTCGGTCGAGCTAGAATATAGCACTCTTGGATAAAGTCTTTGACTGTTGGCCAGAGCCATGTTGGCAAATACAGACTTGGCAGTGGGGAGTCCGCGCGATAACAGAACCAGTGGTCAGAAACTCTAGGTGATATGGCTCAGAAACGATCCTAATGGAGCAGATATATAAGGTGTGGAAATTTGGACCATGCCACAGTGATGCCAGGTTTTCTATCGGTTTCATTTATATGTATTTAGACACCTGTAAAATGTTAGATCCCGGGGTATGGTACTAGATGGGGTACGTACGTCGGGTGATGTTCATCAAGTATGTCCAATCTACGTATTCTAGTTTATCATAGACCTGGCTATGCAGTTGTCTTGCCTGTAGTCTGAATTTTACGGATTCAGCTTTTCATAGGAGAATCCGTAGTAGATCTAGAAAACGGGGAAAAAATAGTCCTGTTGAGCGAAGATGCAGAGTCTTGTGAACATCTCGAGTGGCAATTTGAGAATGTTTGAGGTGTTTTTTACAACTAGACTGGATGTTGTTTCCCTAAGACTGATGAACGTTGGTGACTCATCTAAAAATTGGGAGCGAAGTGACTGAATGAGTTGACTACTTAAGTGGAAAGTGGGATAGGTTACTGGTGGGTGAGTGACCGATGAAATCTCTGCATAGATATAAAAGGTGAGCTTGATTATTGCCAACTCATACCATTAGTTTCACCCGTGGGATAGGCCATTGTTTATCAAGGGTCGACTGTATTGAGCAGCAGTCAGCTTTATTTTTCTATAGCTGCGAAACATAACTGTTAAAGATTGAAGATACGAGGTTTTAAGTTTTATCGACCCAGATGGTTAGGACATGTGTTACGCATGCAAAGTCACCGTTCACCTTGTTACACAATGTTGATTGAAGTAGGTTTAAGTTAGAAGATGGTTAGCGCCAACCAGCCTAAAACATGGCAGTAATGCATGAATTCTTTGACTAATGATCTGAGACGCATAGGGAAATTCAAACTTCCCGGTTGACAAGGCGTGACAACCATAAATAGCGACTGAGAACTCTATACAATATGGCTCTAAATCGATGTCAGTGGAGCAGATGCAACCACATTATCTTCGCCTTAACCGTAAATATGAATTCTAATATTCTTTTATCTCTTCTTCCTTTCTACTTTCAAATACTTCGTAACTTTGCTAACTTTTATCTTGGTGCTTTCTATGTTTATGTGTTGATGTGAGGTGTGGAGGCATGGGCCGTAATTCAGTAGTAGCAGGTTGTTGATTCTAGCTGACTGAACCGGCGATGAGAATCATTAGTCTAAGTATTTGCTTTTCCGTTCAAGACGTTATGAATATTACATCAAAATGCAAACTAACCTCCAATACCAGATTTTTCAAACGGAGATAAGCAGTTGGCGAAAATGGATCTTTAGAATGCACCACTACTTCAGGTTCAGACACCAGCCTAATTCTGCTGCGATACATTGGGCAGTCTAGCGTGACTGTTTCGAACTCTCCACCTTCTCCACAGACGTTTAGAGACCAGGGAGGAACCGACAACTGGTGAAGCTTTGTTGCGACATCGTTTATACGAAACCCAAGAAAGTCGCCAATAGTCAGTCCAAAGAAGCTACCTATAAAGTTTCAAAAGGTAAACGAAATGAACAAGCAAAATTTCCACAAATTTGATCAATTGGAGCTCCAAAGTTAAATACATGGAACAATGCAGAAATCACAAGTTAAAACCTTTGGATCTAGTACTCAATCACAAAATAAGAAAGCATCTCAGAATGCTTGGGTCTAAGTAGCTAAACTTTTTGACAAACTAGGTAGAACGAAATGTGGAAAGTGGTTGAGAGCAAGATAGAATCAAAAATATGTTAAAAGCCTTAAACATGGAGGCAAATCAGTGCAAACTGGCCGCTGGGATCAGTTCGAAGCAAGTTTCCCAGCTATATCCAAATATCATCAATTACTTTTCGAAACTAAACATATCTTAGATACTACCCAGACCACTTATGCGTGACGTAATAGGTCACTATAACATCTGGTTCTCCAAATTATCAAATTAGCGTTCAACCTAACAATGAAAACCATGAAAATATAAAAAGATGGATGTCTCAGGAGCTTCCCGACGCTTTGAGAAGCCTTACCATGCAGGTTAATTGAATATATGAGCTGTAGCACAACCTTTAAACTTCTCGACTGATTTACCTTCGCGTGGTTGTTACACTACTACATAAGATCTGAAACTAACCAATATAACACCTGCGAAGCAAGAGAAATACCTTTCTGTCAAGAAATGAGTTCACCCAGTTGTTTTGCAATGTCGGAAGAAATGGTTACAGAAAACCAAGATTAGAAGGAGATCAGTCATGGATGACAGATGACTTAGAATTATCGGTTGCGGATAATATGAACATCGAATGACCAGCAGTGGTTTGAATGTGTGGAATTTAGTTCTTTAGGTACCTATCCTAGTCGGTGAAAAACACTTAACAATGGCAGAATGGCAGAACACTGAAATCTGGCAAAAATACAATGGTAGACCCTACTAAGTAATTTAGAGACAAACTCAGATATCACTCTGCATGCACTGGCCCATAAGCACACTGTAGAGTGGAATAAAGTGACAATTCTAAAATCCAACATGACTGGGTGGAGGGAGAGATCGATCACAGAATCTTTGTTCATTGAATCCACACCCAACACGTGTAACAACAATTACTCATCGCATATTGCAGATATCTGGTAAGTTTTACTACCATTAAAATAAGTGAATAAATTGTTGGACTACATAAAGGGAGTTTGGAAGTTGTAAAATTACTTCGATATGAATATGAGCCATATAACCTGTTCAAAACGTCATCCATTAAATTAAAGTGTGTTACTGTGTGCTAAATCAAATAAACAATCTAATATGGAATTATACTCTACCACGATGTCCAGTTTTTTTCTTTTCATTAGTACCATACTTGCTTCTGTTAGAAGTTAACAAGATAGATTCAAATAGGCATACCACACGTAGTCATAAAATACGAACAGGTAGTTGCCTGACAAGTTTTCCAATACTCCACATAGACTGATACATTAATTAAGTAAAACGTGATCGTAAATCCTGCTGCTCGAAGCGTGTAAAAACATGATGCGACAAGATACCGAGAAATGCACTGGGCAGTGAGTCTCATGAAGTCTTGTTTTATTTTCTCTAAGAGACTACACATTCGCTTTTGGTAACCATCGAGACTGGAGTACGTACTTTGCTGATACACCAGTTACGCTTAAACATGTGTCCTGCTTGACTACATGAATATGTAACTGAGGACAAGGTCAGTTTCACAGGAAACTACGAACCAATACTGAGAAAAATAACCAACTGCTGGTCTGAAAAGACAGTAAATGCAGCTAGGCATATCGAGCATCTTTAGAAAAAACCTTACAATATGCTGTTTTCTGATAAGTGGTGAGCTAAAAATACTATGCAGAATGATTTCCTACAATCTACCAGTGTATAAGCGGAATCTGTAAACACCAAGAGTATGTAAAAACAGGACCACCTTGATTATAAGGGCTTCTATGCGCGCTGATATGATGTCTTCCAGTAATTCTTCCTGTGACCTCTGCCATAAAAAACACAGTGAACGCAAGCCCAGTCTATAAGCTACGTTCTCAACACGGTAACGTTGATAATCAGAAAGTATGGCACCACTGGATACAGCAGTTATATCTGGAAATTCAGACAATACTCGAGACAATATGCCATACAAATCTTCAACCTCGTCGTTGTGACATTCATGATACAACAGACGCTTGCATCGTGAGTGCCCTTGTATCCGCATTCGAAACACAGGACACCCAATGCCTCAGAAATGAGTTCAACGATTCGCTTCCCACACTTTGATACATGAAACTGTCAATCTCAATAGTCCTTAGGAAAGCTTAAAAATAATTCCACAACCTACTCGCTATCTTCGCAGTTTGAAGGGCACAAATTGACAAGTGCGACTAGTTCGTGGTTATGTACTACACACTCCATTATGTTATATATGCTGTCTTTCCCACCACTAACAAGCGCAACAAACTTCATGCTTAACTTCACCTTGAGTTTAAAGCTCGCGCAAACATCAAATATTCAGGCGGCTTGTGACAGAAAAAAGCTCTCCCTAAACTGGCTTTCGTGTCTAAAACCGGTGAAACACTAGTCTATGTGTCTGATGACCAAGGTGCAATCACACTGGTTTTATAAATGGGGATGTGTCTGCCTACTGACGAATCATTTTAATAATATAAGTAATTTATTTCATTGTATTATTGTGGCATCCCGGTTTCCCAGATATCGTTGTTGTGAGTCTTCCGTTTGTTCTTGAACGAATAATAATGTCATTCTGTTTGTTCCTAAAAATATATAACTATATGTTTTTAGGATGCATTTAGTGTATTCAAAGGGGAACGTTTGTAATCGTAAAATGCTCATAGTTTGTATAAAGTGGGATTCTAGTAGTGTATACGGAAAAGAAACATAAACACCATTACGGTCCGATGAAAATGTCGAGTCCCAATTGTCAAGCAAAGTATAAAGAAGAAAATCAAGTCATTCCCACTAATGAGAAATACTAGTTGTGAAAACTATTTTCTTGGTACAGAGATAGAATCTTATTGATGTTTCTGTTTTTTCTTAGTAGAATCTTGCAGAGTAAGGTGACGAAAAGAATCGCCTAAGGAAAGAGTTTCAAGAAAACCTCTTGACTGCTCAAATAATTTGGGTTTGTTTATCTCCGTCTATGACATTCAGCAGAAATCGTATGCGTGCTCGAAGGTAATTGTATCGAAAAGTCTTAACTATCCAAGCATGAGGAACATTCCTAGCTCGGCAGACTCTTTAAGCGTAATTTTGCGTCGACGTTCCTCCTAATATTTTCGATTTTGGCTTCCGAGGGTTCCACCAAAGATTGAAAGTCAGCTTAGCTTACAGAAATAAAAGTCCATGATCTGATGCATTCATTATGCCTTGTCTCATTCTTTGCTTCGCTTTTAAATCATATGAATGAGTATAGACTGTGTGATGACGTACCTTCTTCATTGACCTTTACCTTAGTCCATGAAGTGATTTTTGAGATAAAAGAATCGATACATGATGCCTCGTCGTAACTCTTGAAATTAGTTGAAAACATCCCTAGTCGAACGTTTTACAGAGTCGCAACTGTGCTACAAGCGACGAATTGGCACAAGATGCATTTCTGTTAGCCTGAAATTTCGGGTGATGCTGTGTAAGAAGCCAAGATCCTCTTCTACCAAGGGTCGTTTCAGCCCTCTGTCGTTGAGTTGGAATGCGTGAAAAGCTTGATGTCATGGGTGCGCCACGTTATAGCTCCATTTTTGTTTGTTTACTAAAAACCTCACAAGGTGAAGGGGAAGTATCATTTGCTGGACAGCATTTCGGACATAATTTTTATCCATATTCTTATCGTATGACTCCGTATCTTTGCGACAGACTTTATACAGTTGTAACTTTCTCTCCTTTTTATGACAAGAGAAGCAGACTTTTCTATACATCCGGGACAATTGAAGAATCACTTCCATTGCATATATTTGATGTTGTTTCGAAAAACAAAGAGCCAGTAAACAGTCTCTCCCTCCTCCCAAATCAGTTCGCTTTCAACACCGTAGCTCTATCAGTACTGTCAGAGAATCCCACCCTTTTGTGCTTAGCTGTGGCTGAACTTTTCTCGAAATTTCTTGTCTTACCAAGATCCATCAGTTTTGATAGAGCCAGGCTTTTGTGCCATTATTCTTGCTGACCCTTGTGCTACTGAGTTGACCAATGGATTTAATTTCGCGATCATTCCAAGGAAATTGGTAAACCAAACTGATTTGCCTGCTTGAATCAGTAGGGTCTTTAGGCCAAAAAGGCCCATTTTTAAGCTAGTTTTTTGGTTTAGATGCGACACAAACCCACCCGTATCAAGAACTCTTCGTAACGCTTATAAGTTGCCTTCTTCGTATGGTAACACAGTTCAGTCATTGAATCCTTGCTCAACCCCGCCACCATTATTGATACCATTAGTGGGACCATTATTATTAACGCCTGTTACTACTACCGCTACTACTGCTGGTATTTTCATTCCATTTCTAATGAATTTTTGTGAATTTAGGCGGGTGGTTGTTGAGACATAAGCCATTATTTATGTGTCTACTCTCTTGCTTCGGATTTTCGCTCTAAATTCTGAGCTTTTTTGCCCCATTACTCAGGCACTCAACCAAACTTACCTTAACCGAGACGGGTTGAGATGATTTGAGCCCTAAGCAGCGAATCGAGTGGGAAGCTTTTCTACAGACACCAGCCTCTAGGCTTTCATCACCTGGTCCTCCAACCCAACACCGATAGCTCGTCTTCATCACTTTCTAGGTCACGAGTTGGTTGGGTTTTATTCGCCGCTAAATTTATATGTTCCACGAGCCCACTGAGATGTCCGGATTTCAGTACTGTAAATTTATCACCCACCAATCGGTATCATTTCTTTGAAGTAGGACTAAACGCTTGAGAAGCCATCCGTTCCCAGCTGTTCATAAACATGTCTGAGATTATGTGGGGTATTAGTGATCCAATGGCAACCCCTCAGTTTGTCCATATAATTTGTTCTGGAACTCAAAACTGTAGACACCAGGCACAAGCGCACACCCTATACGGTTCCCTTGGTTGGCCCCTCATGGTTGAATGCACAAGCTCATTGACATTTTTAAGCCGACTTCCAAAGGCCTTTGGAGCCACTTAGGTCGGTGTATTCCTGTGAAGGCTATTTATATGGAAACCGACAACTTTTCGATGTAACCAACTCGTATATCATCTAGTGTACGCCCTCAGTCATGAGACTTAACAGATCAAGATTTTGAGTGAGTTCTAATTGGGCCTAGTACCATTGCAGTTGTTCGGGCAACTCGTGAGTCTGAGAGTTCCTAAAATCTACTATAGGCCTGATGGGATAACCCGGCTCACGAATAGTGCCACACGTTTCACTGGGATTAGTTTTGGCATTAGACTAAACCATTGTGACGCATTTAGAAAGGGCTTCTAATAAACAGACTAAAACGGAGTAACGACTCACCGTGGTGCTCAAGTTTTACTCCCATATTAACGCCACATTATACCTGCAAAAGCTAGAAATTAGTTCACTGTAGTCTGTCAAATTTTGTAATTATATCAAATCATCTTGCAAAGTGAGCCTTTCGTTTGCGTCTCTGACTTCTCTCCAACACTTGAAATTCAAAAAATCAGCAAGAAGTTGAACCTCAGAAGAAACCAACCGAGGCATATCGTTCGCGCAAATGAGAGACGGGAGGGGGCCTAAACCCGACCCTCGGAGTACTTCACTAAGACATTTCGTCTCTTTTGACATGACATAACCTGCTCACACCTTCAGGGGGCGGTCAACAAATTTGGCTAGTCAGTTAATCAATGGTAGGCTGATTCTTATCAAACTCCCCTCGTTGATGGGGCTGCTGTGGTTAAAGGCCTTGAAGACGTCACAATGCATGACATAAATTCTAACCTTTTGACCAGCAATGACAGTCCAAATGTCTACTGCAGTTGCTACGCTAGTGATTTTTGAATATGTCTTTCTAAAACCATGCTGGTGGACATCGTGTAGCTGTACAGTGTCTCGTATGTCGGTGACTCCATCACTTCTGAGGGCATGAACAAAGGAGTCACACATCTCAATTTCCTTGGGTTACCCCAAAAACTTCTCGTGACAGTTGGCGTTGCGATTTAAATTCCGAAGTTCAGACATTATAAGTTGATTTAGGGAATGCGTGGATAATCTTATGGGGACCCATAAAAATTTGGGGACCCTTCGCATTGGACGACAGAACGAATTTATATGAACTTAAAGGCTTCTTCTTTACGTTCATCAGTTCACTGCATGCCCTATTGAGACGTTTTTAGTCTGCATCTTTCGCATCACCGTTTATCTTTGTGTATTGCGAGTCTAAACTTTCGTGTGTCATCTCCTAAGTAACCACAGACTTTTGTTTTTCATGCTTAATCATCTCCTTCAACCTATCCATTCATCTCCATCAAATCCCATTCAACATAAACTCTAAAGAAACGACTACTGCGGGGATTTCTGCTATCATTATGGCCTTAAATGCTCTCATTTCAATTCGCTTCCCATGGTTCATCGTGCCAATTTGTGCATACTTCTGTTGGCATCCCACATTTTATTAACAAGCAATACACACATCCCAGCAACTAATATCAATTGATCTCAGGCGACATAAAAGCTTTCCGCATAATTTGAATTAACGACAAATGTGTAATAACACATTGCTCCAACGTACATCCTGCAAGTATTACATACTGAGGAAATGCATGATAAGTACAGGAGGAAGAAATGAGCCCCGGAAAAATTATGGATACGGATAGATGCTTTACTTCGTTTTTCTTGCTTTCACGTTTCGTTAATCTTTTTCTCTTCAAGCAGTGACAACAATTTCTTCAACTAGAATAAAACCAAAGTCCACCTGACTATGAGTCCCACTTCTAATTCGCCCTAACAGTTTCCAGGCGGACTCTCAAAAACGACTGAAAAAGCGTTGTAGCAGAAAATTTTTCCCGTCATATGTCGAACATACCTGTCAAAATACGTTCTTAATTAACTCTGGACCTCATACTTCATGCACCAAGAGCTGATGACAGTAAGGTGGTCGAAAAGCAACCTGTTAAGGTACCTTTGGGATTGTGCTGCCAAATTTAGTATCCAAACCACCGCATGATACTGAGAAGACCGAAAGTGACATCGTCTTACTGCAGCCTGCAGCGGCAGATATTGTTACGGATCAAAAAAGTACGTTCTATCTGCATGTGTGCTGGACGAAAATACCAATCTCGGGAGCTGGAAGTCACACAAGTATGAGGCCAGTTCATTTCACTGCTGAGGAGGTACCGAGGGGATTACATCCCTTTTGAATGCTTCGAAGTATGATCCCCTCAGTGGTATCACAGTACAACACTTAAAGGCTTAAAGCCTACGGGAGCATGATAAATCTACAGTCGAACGTCATCAGATGATATCGGTAGCTCTCTTCGGTTCAAGTTTAATCTGTAAGGGATTCCAATTTGTTCCCAAATTCGCGGGGGTCAGTAGGTGAGCACTTCACTAGAAATGTAGAAATTA